CATCAGGCCATCCTTCATTCCAGGAGCGGGGGCTCCTGAGTAGCCTCATACAGAGGAAGCGGGGGTGGATGTCAAGTGGGGTCCTTGGCTGGCAAGCAGCAGACACTGACTGCAGACCGCTCATGTCCCCGGGGAGCAAGGATGAAGATGGTGTCGGGAGGAGTCTATGGAAGACAGGGGCTACACTGCCTGAGCTGAGCAGCCATTGGCACCGTGGCTAGGGCTGGCACCAGTGCCCACAGCACTGAACTCGGGATTCTCTGCCCAACCCTGGCTACTAGAAAGGCTCGACTCAGTACCAGAAGAAGCCTTCGCTGGGGCCAAGGGGGTCGCTAAAATGACCCTTGATCAGGGAATGTCTGATGATCTGTCTTGGAGAATGTCAGGTAATTTGGCAGGAGGTAGGGCCTGTGGCTAGCGGACAGGCACCTGTCAGATTCTTTTCCTGGATGGGGACCGTGGAGCCCCCAGGTTTGTGCTGTGTCTTTTGCTCCTTCAAGCTGAGTACTGCCCCCCAGCTCCCTCTACCTGGAATCGTGGCCTGCAGGTTTTGGGACACGCCAGCCCTCTGCTCCTGGACCCCACTGAACGTGTTGGAGGGACAGGGATTAGAAGCTTGACACCCTGCTTCTCAGGAACTTCACCCTGGTGATGTCTCCAGAAGTGATGTCATGGGTTTTGCAGCCGCTATTTTAACATTTAAGGCCTGGCACCCTGGAGCACGTGGTAGAGGCCCTGCATTCTCTCTCGGGTGATGGAAAAGCGGCTGTTTCCAGAATGCTCCAGACCTGGATTTAAAACTCCCAGCTCTTCCACTTAACAGAACACCCTGAGCATCATTCATCATTTGAAAAAGAACAGAAGGAAGAAGAGAGGGAAGGAGAGTTGGGGAGGGGTCTCCTAATGGACTGGTTGTCAGGCATCTTTCTGGGGACAGGTCCAGCAACCCCTCCCACCAACGAGGCCACTCTTGGGGGTCTTTCTTGACAGGTGCGCCCTGCCCACTGCGGATGTCGGTTCTTTCCCCTTGTGGATGGCACAAGGAGCAATACCTCTCCATATCAAGCCATTTCATCTCCACGTTTGTTCCGGAAGCAGTCAAAGCCCCAGGAAGCAGCCTCCTGCGCAGCTGCGACTCAGGAGGTGACAAAGGTGTGTCCAGTCCAGGGGAGAGCAGAGCGGGATAGAGGTCAGTACAGGCAGCCCCGTCTCACGCCGCCACTGGCCTTAACCTTCAAACCTCAGCTTTTTCGTGCACAAAGCAAGCCTGCTCTCTGACTTCTTGATCAAATGAGATAAGAACCAGCAAGCCCACGGCACAGGGCCTAACTCAGTGGGTGTCACACATAATTCTCTCCTCTCAGTGGGGTCAATTCCCACCAAGCATTCAGCATCACACAGGCACAGACTTTGTTGCCCTGCTGCCAGTGCCAGCCCCAGGCCTGGCACATCACATATAACAAGCATTCAAGTTCTGAGTGCCCTGGGGCTGTAGCAGAGGTGGGCAAGATGGTGAGCCGGGCTGCCCAGGACCCAGGTTGAACACCTGGAAGCCCTGGTGACAAAACCAAGCAACCTCCTCTCACTTGTCCTCCACCCCTCCATCCCCCACCCCATGGTGTCATCTCATCAGAAACAGGAAGGTTCCAGCGTGTGCACGTGACTGATGTCCCAACCACTCCTGGGGCCTCTGTCCACTTCTGCCCCAGGGCGGGTGACTCTGTGAGTCCACAGAGGAACCCTTGGATGCAGCCGGCAGGAATCTTTACCCCTGCCATTCCTAAGTCTGAGCAAACCCGTACCTCAGTTTCCCCATCTGTGAAAACAGGTCCCCCGTCCTGTAGCTGGAATGAGGACTGCAAGGCAGCAGGCCCAGCACCCTGCGTCTCACTCGTCACTGCTGAGCCACATCATTCCGGCAGTGGGAAGAAGGACAACCTAGCTATGGGAGTCGGAGAGCGATCTCAGGTTAGGCTGCTTCGGTGTGTGGGGCAGCTCTGCTTCCAGGCCGACGGGGCGGGGATGTGGGGTCACAATCAATAACAGCCCATACAAGGATTTTCTTGCTTTAGAAAGACAAGTTCCAGAACCACCGAAGCTTGAGCTCTTGGAGCTTGTTCCAGCTCCAACATTCTCCGCAGTTAAACCGCAAGCATTAGTTCAACCACTCAGCGAGGGAAAAAAATACTCCTTCCTTTGCAAAGCGGTCTGGGGTGGGGAGGGGTGGGGCTTACGGCTGGGGGCGGGGCGAAGGAGAAAACCTGCGGTACCCGAGCGCCCGCACGGACCTGGGGCGCACAGGGCGGGAGTAAATAGACGCAATCGTCACACCTGCTAGCTTGCACACTCGCTTGCTCGCTCGCTCTAGCGCGCACGGCCCCCGCAGGCTCGGCGCGGCGGCTGCTTGGATCCAGCCGAATCCGCCCACCTGCTGCCACCCGGCTGCGGAGAACCAGCAGAGATGCCCCTGGCTCTGACCAACCTCAGAGCCCCTACTTCCCCCTCTTCATCTTCCGGCCAGGCTGGCTGCCCATCCACCTGTTCTCGTGGAGACTTTCCCAGGGCCGAAGAAGCCGAGCCGAGGACCCCCTCTTTTGTCCCCGCCGAGTAACCCCTCCCTCCTGGGTCACTGCACAGGTCCAAGTGTGGAACTTAGCAGAAATGCCTGGAGGGGTCAAAACGCCCTTCCTCTGGGGGCCCTCCCAGAAACCAGGAAGACCAGAGAAAGCCAACTTCCCCCAGGGAAAGTCTGCGGCTGGGCGGCGGGGAGCTGGCGCAGGAGCTTCCGGCCTCGCGGGCTCCTCCTCTCCCAGGTCGGGGTCCCTTCCGCGGCGACTCGTAGTGGGGCCAAGGAGACGAGAGCGCACGGGTCGTGCCCCTTCCTCGCAGAGACCGCCTCGCAACTACCTTCCCCGCGCTCCCCCCACCCCCGGCCTCGCAAGCAGCCCCCGGCGGGTGGCTCCGGGCAGGTGCACCGCTGGTCACCGCGTCCTGGAAGGGCGCCCTCCTCTGGCCCAGCCCGCCTCTGGCGTCTCTCGTGGACCCTTCCGGAACTCCCGCCCCGCACCGTGGGCCCACGCTCCAGAGGGGAAAGGGAGCCTCCTCCCCGATGCGTTCGCATCTCCTCTGCCAAGAAGGGAGGTTTGCCGGCGATCGGGGTTCTCCCCCTGCGCCCCAGCCACGCAAAGTTTCCCATCCGCGATTTGCGTCTCCGCTCTTCCTGCAGCCGGAGCCGTGGAGCTCAGAGACGAAGCTCTGACTGCTTGCAGCCAGCAGAGGCTCGAGAGGCGATTCAGGGCATCAGGACGCCAGGCGAGCCCCGCAGCCCGGCAGCCAGAGGAGTCCTAGGGAGAGCCCGCTGGGTGGAGACTGCCCGCGCCAGTATTCCCCTCCCCCGCCACCGCTGCCACGTCCCTCTGGGGGAAGGGGTGGGGCCCTCCTGTCCCAGCTCCCAAGCCTGCTCCCTGCAGTGTCCAGGTGAGGGCCCACTGCCTTCCAACAAAGCCCGTGCCCTCCTCACAACAGCGCCTTCCCTACTGAGGCATCCAAAGTGGGGAGCTCTTACCCCAAAGTTGGGGCGGGGGGGAGGTTTGAATCCACTTTCCAAAGTCTCCTACTCCATGGGTAGGGGACAATGTATGGGGCGTGCAGTCCTTCTGGGGTACACGGCCTTTCTCCCCCATCCCCCCGCCACAAGCCCACCTCCCAAGCCCTAATTCGAAGCTTCTCTGGGCAAGAATCCAGCATTGCCCAAGGACGCAGGGTGGAGGGGGTGAGGACTGCGCTGGGACCCCCTTCGCAGCACACACTCTCAGAGCCTGGTGAGACATCTCCCGGTAGGAGGGCGGGACAACGGAGGACAGAGCTGACCCCCATTTCCATCAGCCGGGCCTGAGCCCCTGCTGGTCACAGTGCCTGCACTTCGGCACCAGGCATCCTTGGTCCTCTCAGAGGCAGCGGCGTTGTTGGGTTCTGACTGGAGTTGGCTTGGGTTTTGGGGTTTCACGGCAGCCGCTAGGCTTGCTTAAGGGCGGGGGAATCCAGGACGCCCACCCTCTGGTTTCCACATGCCCCTGGAAGCTCTTAGCATATCCCGCCTCCCTCGAGCAGCGTTCGTGGCTACAGCATCTGCTTTCCCTTCACTGCGCGAAAGGTGCCAAGGGTCGTCTGCATGGGCTGCAACCATTTAAGATCCACCAGGCGGCAGCGCTGGGCGGGAAGCCTGGAGGCAAGAGCGAACCCCGGACCCTGACGCTCGGCAGCCACCGCTGGCTCTGGGGAACCCGCTCGCTTTCAGCCTCTTCCAGCTGGCTCGCTCTAGCTCCCCGGGACCAAATCCATGAGGGTCACACACGCACACGCGCGCGCGCACACACACACACACTCACGCTGAGCCGCCTGCTCCAGCGCACATATGCACACTCTCACCCCTACAAAGCAACACGACCCTCGGCACCCCCACGCAGACAGGTACACTCCTGCGGGGGAGGGGGAAGAGCCACCTGCCCACCCACCTCCCTCCCAAGGCACACACCCCTAAAGACATTCGCGCCCTCGGGACACGCGTGAACCGCCACACCTCTCCTAGCCGCCCGCCCCTAACACGGGCGCACACACTTCACACCCTCCGGAGAGGCCGGCGCAAGCACAGGCTCACACATCTCCGCGCAGCTGACACCGACTCGAGACACCCCTGATACACGCAGACCCCGCGCCATCTCACCCGCACGCTCCCAGCTCCACATACACTTCCGCACCCTCCCGGACACCCTCACCCATAGACGCCAACAAAGACACACACAAGCACACACGACCCTGGCACAGACCCCCGAGCGCCCGCTGCCAGACAGCCGTCCCCTCTCTCTCCCTCCCTCCCTCGCCAGCGAACCAGCTCCACACGCCTGCCCGTCAGGACCGATGCTCGGCTCGACCCCGGCCCCGCGCCCTTCCCAGCGGCCGTCCCCGCGCGCGTCCCCCTCGCCGGACGCCCGCGCACTTACCGTGCGCCAGGTCCAAGATCGCGGCGAGCAGCAAGCAGGCGCAGCCGCGGAGGCTCGGGGCGGCTCGCATGGTGCCCGGGAGCTGGCAGCGGTGGCGGGATGGTGGCGGCGGCGGCTACGGGTCCCCTCGCCATGGGCTCAGGCGCGCTCCTGCCTCCGGCCGCGGGCCGAGGAGGTGGCGGGCAGCGTGGGGCGCCGTGGGGGCGTCCCCATGCCGCTGCGGCCGGGCCGCGGGGGCGCCGGGCTGCCCTGAGCTCGGCCTCTGCGGGGCGCCGCGCCCTAGCGCTCCGGGCGTCCTCCCGGCGCGCCGCGGCTCCGGGTGGCTGGGCTGAGCGCGGCGCGCAGCGCGACCCGGCCGGGAGTCGGATCGGCGGCAGCGCCGGAGTTTGGAGCCCGATCGCGCTCGCTCTGCCTAGCGCCGGTCTCTCCCGGCTGCGCGAGCGCCCCCCACCCCCGCCCTCCCTGCGTCCCTCCCCCCTCTCCCCGCCCCCCGCCCTCCCCCTCCCCTCGCCACGCTCTCGGCTGTATTATACAGACTTTTCCTTAATCCTTTCTGGGTTGTTCGGCTCTCGTCGGCTAAGCCGATTTATTGCAGGCAGAAGGAGCGCTCGCTCCCCTCCCATCCCCCCCGCCCTTCCCCCCTAGTTTCCCACCCTCCCTCTCCCCACCCCAAGTTCTCTCCCACCCTCCGCTGCCACTGGCTTGCAGCCTTCAGCTTTGCAGCCTCCTTTGGTGCCCCAGCCTCCCTCCCCACCCTCCTCCGGGAGGCAGATCACCACCACCCCTCACCGTGCCCCTCTCCACTCCCCGTCGAATGGCGGGAGGGGGGCAGCGTCCCTCAGGCGAGGGCGATGCCATCCTCAGGTCGGGCAGGCCGGGTGTGGCTCCGGAATAGCAGAGGTTCCCTGTCTGTGCACACCCTCATGGGGCGCATTTAGGACTCAGCCTCCTGGAACTTCCCAAATTAGGCAGCCTCTCTCCCAGAGCCCAGGGAAACATGATGGGGCCTCTTCTAGCCCCCTCTCCCCGTCCCCCACCCCTCGATACCGCGGCCCTGGCTGCAGCCAGGAAGGGGCAGGGCGGTTCCCTTCATGCAGAGACAAATGTCCCCCTCCTCATCTAGCAGCTGGGCACCTTTGCCTCCCCAGGCCTAAGAAGTGGAGGTGTGGGGCCCGCAGCTTATCACTACTCTCCCTGCGACACGCTGAACTAACTACACCTCCCCTCTGCGGGGAGGGGGAGAGTCCCACGGGTGGGCTGGGGGCCAGGTGAGGTGGAGTAAGTCCAGGGCGTGGACTTGAAGCACCTGCAGAGGACCGGGGGAGGGGGAGGGGGCAGATTGGTGAAGCCCAGGAAGGCCAGCGCAGCTAGGAGCAAAGCTGGGCTCAGTCCCCTGGGTCCCTGCGCCCTGGGTCCAGCGCTTTCTATGGAGAATTCTCAGCTCTCCTAGCTCCAGTGTGTTTACTCTGTTTACCCAGAAGGACAATGGGTACATAGCCAATTCTTCTCCAGCAGCCCTCAGAGGGGTGTGGGCAGAGGCACCCAAGGGCAGTGGGCTGTTCCTACCATTTGCAGACCCCACCTCACCTCCCAAGGCAGCTGGGCTGCAGCTCACAGCTTGCAGGTTGTTTGCCTGCCCTGGGGGAAGGAGCGATTTGCATTTATGAAGATCTGAAAGCATACGTTCACCTGACAGGCTTTAGAATGATCCTCTCAGTAAAATAATAATAATGATCGTAATAAACCCTTATAAATAGGTGTTTGATTACAGTTTGTCCCTATGTGGGGATTTTTTTTTTTTTTTTGAATCAGACTAATTGGTTGCCAAGCTGATCGGCTGGATGTGGCTTGAACGTTGGAGTCTTAGGCCCTTTCTTCTGCCGGCTGTCTGCTCTTTCTCCCTCTCACCTCTTCTCCAAGCTGCTGAGGTTCAGCTTGAGGCCATCCTCACCCCACTCCCACCCTTACCCAGCCATGCCCTCGGGAGTGGTCCCTGACTACTTCCTTTCTTGTTTCTCCTACCTCCTTCCGGCCCAGGACACAATCAGTAGAGTCAAAGCCCCACACCCCTGAGTCCTCTGCTGGACTGGAGGGCACCGTTGCCTGGTAGGACAGTGCTGGTTGGAGGGTACCGCTGGATAGGAAGGCAGCATTGGCTGGTATGGCACCCCTGGCTGGGAGGGCACTGCTGGTTGAAGGGCAGCGGCAAGCTGATAATACAGCAATAGCCTGGGAAGATCTGAGTTCCGCAGTACATGCCATGCGTTGCTATGTGTGCATTGCCTACCTTCTGCACTTGTTTCTGCAGCCAGGCAGGTAGACAAACCACAGTTCAGGTGAGCCCTTGGTTGGGGAGGCTCCCTGACTCCACTCGCCCAGTTACTGCAGAGGAAACCCAGGGAACAAATGGGGTTCCAGGCCTTGCTGTGATGCCTGCTCCCAACTAGGACCATGCCAGCAGGGAAGGACAGTCAGCCTCAGAGGGCAGCAGAAAGGACTCCCTCTGTGATGGACATGGAAGAGAGACTGATGAGAGGAAAGGTTCGATAGCCAAGGAGGTAGGGGACTTCCTGCTTTCCAAGCAGGACGTAGATGCTGGAGACTTCAGTTAACTCTGCTTTGGCTCCAGGACTTCTGAATGTCACACTCTTCTTATCACTTGAATTATAATGACACATAGTAGGTCCTCAGTAAGCATTTGTTGAATGAGTGGATGATGGATGGATGGATGGATGGATGGATGGATTACAAGATGGATAGGTGACAGGTATGCCAGGTCCCAAGGGGGAGGGGATGGATGGGTGGATGGATGGAAAGATATAGGGATGAACAGGTGGGTAGGTGGATGGAGGGATGGATGAGGGTGGATCGCTCTGTCTTATCCATTCTATTCCTCAGCTCCTGGCATAAAGGCTGGCACTGGGTATGTGACCTGTGTCAATGAACCTTCCTAGAAAAGCTTGGGTCACGTGTTCTGGTAAGCCCACAAGGGAGAAGCCACCCTGCCCAGGTGCACAGGTGACTTTTCCCGAATGGGCTCAGCACCATGTGTGTGTCAATTCCTGTATGGCAATGACTAGTGGTAACATTGCCACCTCTGCAGCCATCCCCAGGGGAGCCCATTCTCCCAGCTCCTATTTCGCAAAGCCTAGCTTTGCAGCCAATTCTTTTGCTCCAGGAAAAAGACATCTCAGAAATAGTGAGACAAACAGGCTGACTTAGCTAAAGAGAAGTCACCCAGGGTAGCCATAGGCTTTTTCATTTGCTTACCATCCTTGGTTCCTGTCTCCTGTGAATCGCTCACCCACAACAGGGTCTCTACTTGGTAATCCAGACATTAAGGCTCCGAGTCACACAGAATATGCCTCTTCCTTGGGTCCTTGGTGTGAGAGGCCAAGTGGGGGAGTGGTCTCCAGGGCAACTGAAGGGGTAGGCGGGTGCGCACAGCGCCCTCTGTCCATGGTGCTGAACCAGGCTCTCCCAACAGAGGGTGCTCCAGCACAAGCTAAAGTTCTAGGCTCCCTACCCCAGGGAACAGGCCCAGAGGTCGAAGGGGCTGTGTGTGACCTTTAGCTCATCTCTTTGTGAAGTTGGGAGGGAGGGTTGAGCCATGGGACAGCCTCCTCCATTCCTTGAGGATGTACATTGCTGGTTTAAGGAGGGAGGTGAGATTGGATAATGGTAGTGGGGAGTATTTGTGAAAGTGCTTCTGTAAGTCAGGCACTGTGTAAACTCACAGTCCTCAGAATAACTCGTGAGGTGGGTGCTATCATTATTTGTAGCTTACAGGTAATAAAGTTGGTGCTAGTTAAGCAACTTGCATATTGTAGTGCAGTTGCTGGTGAAAGAGCCAGATCCAACCCAGAACTCTTAAACATCCTTACTGGCCAGCACACACACACACACACACACACGACCCGTGCCATCACACACACACACACACACACACACACACACACACACACACACACACACACAGGCACACACGCCCTGGAAGGGAGTATTTGTATAGCAAAACTATCACAAGTCCTGTGGGTTGTGACTTTCTTATCTCATTCAATTCTCCCAAGAGCTCTCTGTGGCAACTTTATTTATGTCCAATTTACAGATAAGAAAACAAGACTCAAAGAAGTGAGAAGGATCGCTCCAGCTGACCGAGGAAGAGGACGTCAGCCTGGGGGCAGGGATGTGACGTGGACTCCCTCCAGCTCTGTGCAGAACATCAGGGCACACATCTCTGTCATCAGCACACACATACACATATGTGCGTGCGCGTCCACACACACTCACTCACAGTCTTCTGGCTCCTGCTTCTCTCTCTGCTGCCTTTCTGTGCTGAGTTCTATTGTTTGTTTAAATTAAACACGACTGAAAGTGACTCCTTAACATCAGTGACACAAATCAATGTGAAATCAGCTCTCGGAATTAAGTCCAATGCTGTGTCACCTACACTCTCAGCTCTCCAGGCCTCTTCCCCAGAGGAGGACCCAGGAGGCTACAGTCATATTTCCCAGAGAATCTCAGGGTGGATCCATGGGAAGGTGTAGGGATCAAGAAGGGCCAAGAGAAGCAGGTGAACCCTGGGGACGACATTCCCTAGATTGGGTCCCCTTCCCCACCACCAGCTATGACAAGTCTGTAATGAGCAGCCTTTGGGGAGAGTTCCCTGGCTAACTGTTCTCAGAGCATCACTACCAGCAAGAGCAAGGAAAAACAATGAGAAGTACCGTAGCTGCTTGCCCACTGCCCACTGCTGCTCAGTTGCACATAACCTGTTCACCCGTATTGGGCATCAGAAGCCATGTCCCTTAAACACCTGGAAGCATTTGGTAGGCACACCTTCTGTGGCTCACAGAGTGGGAGTGTCTGCGCTGCCCTGGGTAAGCCTCCTCATCTCCTGCCTGGTCACTGTGGCAGCAACAAGAGCAATAACAACCATTGCCAGTGGATGGCATGGAGTGAGTGCTCAGGTGCCAGGTGCTGTGCCAAGTGCCTTGCTTGCACCAGTCCAACTCCACGAGGTCGTTCCATTTTTAGAATCCTGGAGGAGATGATGAGATGGCGTCTGGTTTGGGATCCCAGGTATCCGGTTCCTGGATTGGAGTCCCTGGCTCTCACTCCTGGCATCAGCTGGTGCAGATCCCAGGACACAACTAACTTGAGTTGTCAAGTAGTTGGTTCCTGCCACCCACACAGAGCACCTGGGCTGTGTTTCCATCTCTGTTGTCTCCATAGGTGTTTGGAAAGTGAACCTGTGCATGGCAGCTCTGTCTCTGTCCAGTCCCCCCAGCCCCCCAATACCAGAACAGGTAGACTGAAGCAGGCAGGGGAGGTGAAGCTTGTCTGAGGCCACCAAATCCATAGGCAGTGATGCTGGCACTTGGACTCAAAGGCCTATTCTACCTGACCCCTTAGCTCCCACAGCCACCTACCCCAGACCACCTACCCCAGG